TAGCTGAAATAAAAAATTCAACTAGGTTATTTGAAAAGCTACCTAAAGTAGCTTATGAAATAAGCTCGAGCTTTCTAAAAAAGCTCGTCCTACCAAACGAGGCTTATTTCAATACAGGGAGCTTATAAGCTAACCAAATAAGCTATAAGTTAGCTTATTTGGCTTACCAAACATACCCTAAATAAAACCCACACTTTTCAATTCTCTAATCCGATCAAAAAAATAAAATAAAATAAAAATCTGCCGAAACAAGAAAGAAGAAGAAGTCGCATCTGCATAAAGTATGAACGTTGAAGAAGAAGTTGGTAAGAGATCCGCCATCTCGGCCAAGCCCAACCCGATGGCCACACCTTCACGTATTCTCGACCCCATTTCGATTTTTATCTGAATAACAAACAGAAGTCTTTGATTTGATTCAGGTACATGTTAATCTCTGAGCAAGTCGACGATGTTATGTCCGATTATCCTCTTGTTGCTTCATGAGTTTTCTTCAATTGAAACCAATGATCCTTGTATAGTAATATAAAGTTTGGCCCTGGCTCCTTGCTTTTTTTCTCATCCGAGAAAAAAAATCTTCATGTTAACAATAGTATGAAATTTTGTAGCATTATAAGTGTGCATTTTTTTGTTGAAAAGGTGTGACGTGTCGATTCATCTGATTGTTAGGCCGTTTCGTGCAATAATTTGTGTTGTTTTCTTCCTGTCAAACGCAAATATCTTCGAAGCTCTAGTTGGAACTTTGCGCGCAGCGAAAAACGTAAAACCCTAACTTATGAAGGCGAATTACTGTTGCAAGGAGTTCATGATAATATTTCTGTCGCCGATAATTGTGTGTGCTTGAGCAGTCTACAAAACATGGCAAGATTATGACTCTAATCGTGATTCACTGTGGCAGAATGCAACTAGCACAATATTTTTGCCAGGTTCAAGTTGTGTAGCCACTTTTCGGTTTCACCTCATCTGTTTTAAGTATTACTAGCACAATACCCGTGAACAACACGGATGTTGAATTAAGAAATATATGATAAAAATTATTTATGTTTAATACCAAACCTAACTCTAGAGCAAAAATAATATAAAAACACATCACGAAGCATAGATTTTCGCCATGTCAGCATCCAAAGCGTGAGAATCTGTCACTTAAGCTCAACACGTTTTGCATTAATATATAGGAGGGATGTCTAAATGGATTATGCAGACTCTAATCATATAAAAACAGAGGACTCTGTTTTATTTCACTTCATCTGTTTTAAGTATTATGTCTAAATGCATTATGCAGCTTGATATGTAAACAGAGGATTGTGTTTTATTTCATTTTAAGTATGATGTCTAAATGGTTTGTGCAGTGAATAAACAAATCTATCATGTACAAGTTAATAACCAAGGATCTAATCTAAAAGGGGTTAGGCGCACGTTAGGCGGCAGACTTAGACCTACCGCTTAGGGCGCCTAGGTGGGAACTAGACGAGGCCGAGGGTGTTGTAAAATTATTAATGAATTTATTTATATTTATAATTATGCGGTAGGTTACAAAATATATTTTATAAAATATAATAATTAGCATGGTTAATAGATACATTCTAATAAATATTATATAATATAATTATCATATTAATTATACAATATTATTGCTTTTTAATTTTATAATTTTTGTACGCTTGTCTCTTTTTACTATATTTTAAAAATAAATTAAAAAATATATATGGGCGCCTCATCTAGACGTTGCTGCCTAATTTCCTGAGCGCCTAGAAGGACAACCTAGAAGTAAACTGGGCCTTTTAGTGTCGCCTAGGCGGGCGCCTAGCCCGATTTTACGCAAAGAGGGTAATTGTGTACTTTCCCAACGACTCACTTAAGATTTGCAAATAAACATTAAAATGACACATTGCAAAAGCATTAATATTCATTAGCTCAATTGAGATTTGCAAATAAACATTTAAATGACACATTGCAAAAGTATTCAATTTATTTTTCGTATGTACAAAGGCTAATGAAGTTCTATTATTCTGAGGAGAAATCCAACTAGCAAAATCTAAATCCTAAACACAATACAGCAGATGATATATACATTCCGCAGAGGAAAAAGCAACTCTGTAACAGACTAATATGTGTTGCATGGGAATATTAAAAAAAAAGCACGAAAATTGGAGGTTACTTACACAGAATTTCTAGTCATACATTGTGCTGATGTAACGAGTCACAACTCACATAAGACTTGGCCTAGCTGCTGCTAGCACATCCAGCTTCCGAAAGGATTAGGCGGAATAACAAAAGAAGATCCGAAAAAAATGGCAACAAAGAAGATCTGAAATTTGGTGTACCTCAATCCAGCAGCCTTAGTTGATTGAAGAATACTAAGTATTGAAATTCTGGAGCCCAATACACGAATCCAACAACTGGGCCTCCTTTCATGTACTGCACAAAATTAGTGAACAAAAAGCGTGCAATCAGTAGGGAAAGTATAAAAAAAAAAAGGAAAAATAATTTAAAACCGATCCGGAAAATATTGAACCTTCCCGTCCAAAATCACAAGTTCACCATCAACCCATCGAGGATTTTGAAATCCAGGATCAGCTAATCTTCCCTGTCCTCTATATCGAGCAATCTGAAAAATGATGCAAATACGATATAAAAGTATTAGTACTGAAATTTGTTGTTAGGTAAATCAGTGTAAGCGATTAACATACCACTCCGAACTCTTCAGGAATGATCCCTTTATGTGGAAGTTGATATCTTTTTCCTACTTTTGCTCGAAATGCGACCTACAACGGTAATTGATGTAACAATTTGATTAAATTTGAATTACAATTACATGTTATGCAGATATATTGAAGACGAGGAAATAATATTTGGTGGACTACCAGCATAAGCATATTATATGAATCATTAAATTACCTGACCAGCAGGAACATAAGCATCACCAGTTAATTTTACAGCTTCAACATACTCGTAAAATTCGATTTTTGATGGCTTCTTTCTGCTTCCATCATCTTTCCACTGACCAAATCTACGCTTCATTTGAATAACTTCCGATGTGTAAAACCCATGTGCACCAATATACAGTCCTGAATAATGAACACAGTTTCTATAACAGCATGAAAAAACACACAAACACCAACGAAAAACTTAAGAAAAAAAAAGCTAATTAATTAATTAATTATCACCATTCAGTGGATCCGAAGATGATGATATCTCAATACGGTGAAACGTGGTTGACCCAGATAAAGGCTGCCTGTTACGAGCTTGACTGATCGTATGATCTAACAAGTCACTAACATCTTTAAGAACCTGCACATTTTGCATGAAAATTTTCAAGGTCGAAAATCACCGAACTAATAAAGGAATTTACACACACAAACCTTCATTGAGATTTTCTCTTTGGCAATGGACTTCATGAGATTAAGCATAACATTGTCAATGCTACGTAGGGTTTGAAACTTATTAGCTCTTTTGTTCTGCCGAAACTGTGAAAGACGCTCACTATCATTCTCCTCTACAGTAAACGTAAATGATGCCCGATCCTTTTTCTCCAGTCGAGCTGGAACACGGAGTAATTCCTTAAAATTAGCGCCATGCGAAATTTTCGGGATGAGCCCATCAATCACAACTCCAACTGAAATCTGATTTTGCTCACTGCCATCTGTTAATCCAGTAGCAGAATCCACTTCAATGTCATTGTGATCATCATCAGAATATTCGTTTTTAGTTTCATCATCAGAATCTAGATCTTCTGAGTCGAAATCGTGTTCTTCCTCATCATCATCATCTGTTATCTGCTTGATCACATTAGATATCATATCCATGTCAATCTTCTCCGGAGATGTTATCTTCACAACCTTCACCTTCACACCAGGAATCATGTCACGTAAGATATTATCGAAACTGAAATCATCATCCATGTCTTCACTGTCTGAATCCTCAGAGCTTATTTCAAAGAGCTTGCTTTTGCTGTTGTCCCCCGCATCACGAGCGTCCCGGCTTCTTCTAGAACTTGCGGCAGGCTTTGAGAATGGAAAATGGAGATCTTGGGGAGAATGTTTGCGTTTTAAATAAACGGCCTACATTCAGTGATCCATAAAATTTTATACTTAGTGAATATGAAGTCATAACACACCCAGTTCTAGATGCTTGGACAAAATATTGAATTTCAGAAAGATTAAGGATGATACCTGTTGCTTATAACCACCTTTTTTGTTATTTGTAAGATAAATCTCGAATAAGGGTGCACCCTCTGAGGTTGCGGCAAGCTGCCTGCCAAGAAACGAAAACAGAAGCACTGCAATCAATTGTGATGGCAGTCAACGAAATGGAATCATAAATATGCAAAAGTTAGTAACAGGTTATATTAGATCAGTACTAATAAATTTCATTTTTGCTACAATAGTGTTGATGTATTATAAAACTATGTGAATAAGCATGCCTATACTTGTGGACAGGAAATGTAATGTAATTATGAAAACAGCAATATACCTAGGACTGTAACTTCTAGCAATATATCGCCCATACTCAGCGCTTATACGGATAATACGACCATAAGGATCATCAGCATCTTCTGAAATTCCAGCCCACCATCCAACCTGAATGGCAGGTCAAGAGAAAAAACTTCAGAATCTAGAATAATAAAGCAACAAAATTTTTTGCAGCCAATAATTTTCACTTTCTTAGGTGCATAAGTGGGTGGGGATGATTATAATTTAGTACTGTCAAGTACTCATGTATTTATAAACACAAGCCATTAATAAAACATTACGCTAACTCACCAATCCAGCACCAGCGTAGTCACGTATAAGAGCTGCATCTCCATAACGTTCTTCCTCCACAAACTTCTGCACTTGGAATATAGAATATCAAATAAGCCAAATTATACGTATTCATCAACAAAGTCATAACAGGAAGAGAGCATCCACTATTCCACACACACACACACACACACACACACACACACACACAGAGAGAGAGCACAAGCAATTAATACGTTGGTATTTGTCAATGGCAAGAGAGAATTGCTACCTTGAGATGGGACATCACTCTGCCAACAGTATCATTTGTAGCAGCAGCTGCAATTGCAACCTTAATCCTGGCAGCATCTTCATAATCCTCTCTCTTGACTGCACTTGCCAGCTGAGACTGTTGAGAATTAAGAGAAACCACATCAGTAAGTTTGACCATTAGTGTTTCGCAGGGGGTCTTAGGTGGGGGGTACGGATTTGATAGAAATATATGTGATTTTGCTCCATAAACCACAATTTTCTTGTTATACCGTTTATGTCCCATAAACCAACCCTCATCAATATTGATGATACCGATTCCTTATAACTAACCAACCACTACAACTTTAATCAATACTTTCATCCCATTCCCTATCATTATCATTTTCAAATTCACTCCCATTATCCTCTATATACCAAGCAGCCGCTTAGCGTAGCTAATCAGACAATTTAAGGGCATTTAGTTAGCAAGAACCCAAAATTTCAGAAGGATAGTAGAAATGAATTCCTCCACTGCCAATTAGTCACACCTCTCACCTCACTAGAGATGAAATAAGAAAAAAAAGATAATTTTGTGCGCAATGGGGCAATCAAAAGATAGCAACTTTAACACAGTATCAACAAATTCTGAGCTAAAACAAAGCAACGCTCGAAACTTCCAACATCGAACTCACAAATGTTCAGCAAAATACAAACAAACGCAAACCCACCTTCAAAATTGAGACAATGCGCTCCTGCTCATCGACCTCCACGAAATGCCGCCTCCACTTATCCCAATCCCATTCATCCTCTTCCTCCTCACCATCATCCAGAACCACCTGACTCACCTCCACTCCTCCCTGATCCCTAAAAGAACTCAAATAACCATCAATCTTCTCAATCGCATTCCTAACAGTTTCCTGGATGCCAAAATCCCACCGCCACGAGTTTCCCGAGGCCGAGCTGTCTCCGCCGGCGCCGTCGCCACCGCTCCTATTGAGGCAACGGCAACAGAACTCGGATTCAGGAACCCTAGAAAAATAAACCCCCGATCGCGACGATCTTCTGCTGAATTTAGAGGAGGCGAATCTGGAACTGGAGGGGTCAAGATTATGAAGACTCGAATCCGCGCGCGGAGATTGAAACGTTGGCGGACACATCGACGCCATTGCTGAGTGCTTTTGGGCAGTGACTGATGAACTTATCAGTACACGAATATATACAATACAAAAAATGATAAAATAGAAACACGAGAAACAAAGATTTAGCTGAATATATGTGAAGGGATCGTTATAATTAACGAAAAAAATCAGAAAGAGAAATATTGAAATTAGCACTGTTTATTATAAGCTCAGCTGTGAATAAAAAATGGGGCGCAAAGA